TCTTTCTATATTTGCTGTTACACCATTTATTACTATAACATACATATACATATATGTATGTAGGGCCATAGAAGAGTACATAACATAAGATTACAACTATGCATCGGGTGGGCAGAGCTGGTAACTTGGGAAATCCAGTAGGACAGCTACCTTAAGTATTAAGTGATCTCAAGTTTATTATTATTATTATTATTTTGGTTTTACGAGACAGGGTTTCTCTGTATTGTTTTGGAGCCTGTCGTCCAGCCCAACCTCAAACTCACAGAGATCTGCCTGCTTCTGCCTCCCGAGTGCTGGGATTAAAGGCGTGTGCCACCACCGCCTGGCTGTCAAGTTTATTATTAACTGGCTGTGAGGTCCAGAAAAAATTTCCAGTCTCTTGGGATGTGAAATATATATTCAGATATTCATGGAAGCCAGAAGACGATGTTGGATATCTTGGAACTGGAGTAACAGGCAGTTATGAGCTGCCATGTGGGTTGTCTGGAAGAACATCCAGTGCCTGCAGTCACTAAACCATCCCTCTTGTCCCCTCCAGTTTTACTTCTAAATTAACATAAAAATCATGTCTCAGAAACACAGTACCTACCATTCTTATATTCTCTTTGTTTTTGTATGTACACCCTTTCCCATATTATAACTGCCTACATAAAACACTGTAACATCTCACATAACTTCAATATACTGTCACATTTTATATTTATAATTTTTATTAACATAGTATTCTACTGCTTGTGAATATCCTAGTTTGGAGCTATGTGCTCTCTTAAAATGTTGAGCCTTTAAAAGACATCCTTATGTATTTTCTGAAGATTAATGTATGAGAGAGCCATCCTGTTCCAATCGATCACTTCAAACTATGTAGATTTAGCAGCATTCTCCATAGTTAACTTCATGGGAAGTTCCAAGATGCTATGTACCCTGCCTGGCTTTCCCCAATATTTTGGGAACAGCTGCAAGAAGTGACAGACCATCCCAGCAAGGAGGAACCCCGAGAAGCGTAAGAGAAAAATCTGGAAGGCACATGTCCTGTGCCAGCCTGTGAATTATGTCCTGGCCTGGAGAAGCTGGCCTGGCACATTCAGGAGACAAGGTGAGACACAGTAACATTCCTTCCTGTGTCTTGTGTCTCCAAGGTCATGACTGTGTATGGGCCTCAGCCTCATTGTAGAACTCCCTGAATGCAGAGTCTAGACAATTTCATCGGGGCGTGTTTCCACTCCTTCTTTTCAGAACTGGGTGAAAACAAGTCACCACAGAATTTCTTCCTGCTGGTTTCCACCCGCCAACACCAGGTGCCTGCACCACCCTCCGCCATCTGCCAAGGCCACTGCCTTTTGTGAATAGCTGGGTCATACTGTCATCATTGTCTAAAGTGGGAAATAAGGCTGGGAAGTCAATGGAAGCTGGCTTTATTTCCCCCCAGCTTTTCACGGTATTTACTAGAGAGACAGACTCAGTTCCTGGCCTCCCTCTTTGTATGGAATTGATAGAATTGTCTTTTCTGCCCACTCAGATCTCTGGACTCACACATCCTAGGTAGTGTATTCTTGTACCAGAGTAGTATAGATACCAAACGATGAAATACATCTTGAAAAGATATGTCCCAGTTTGCACAGACACCAGAAATGAGGACAATTGTCTCATGGCAGTAGGAGGTATTGATGTTAGTATTCGGGCATCTGTACTGGCCTGTCCTCAGGGTTCTGACAGGATACACCCTCAACTGCAGCCACTAAGGGCGCTGCCTGTGCAATTCACTATGCTCCCTTCTAAAAGGGCCCTGCCCAATTCCCATCTCTCTCTCCTCTCTCTCTTTCTCTCTCTCTCCCTTCCTCCCTCCTTCCCTCTCTCCCTCCCTCTCTCTCTCTTCCTTCCTCCCTCCCTCCCTCTCTCCCTCCCTCCCTCCGTCCCCCTCCTTCTCTCCCTCCCTTCCTTCCTCCCTCCCTCTCTTTCCTCCCTCCCTCCCTCCCTCCCTCCCTCCCTCCCTCCCTCCCTCCCTCCCTCCTTCCCTCCCTCTGTTCCTTTCTCTCCTTGTTTCTCTGCCTGTCTCTCTGTCTCCCACTACCCTCTCTCTCTCCGTCGGCTTCTCTGTCCCCAGAGGCTTGTCTTCCCCTCCCCTCCCTCGTTTTCCCACTCCCTTTCCCCCCTAATGAGAAACCCCTCCACATGGGCTCTGTCACGTGGCATCTTTTACTCTCGTGCCACTTTTTAAATTACAACAACTGATGCTTATGAATTTTCCTTTGGTTAAGACTAGAACCAGCAGATAACGTAAAGGTCCAGTGCCATCTCACAGTTATTTATCATAGCAAAACACAGAGTAGTAATACTATGTCCATTCAATGGCTGGCCTTCCACACCAGTGTCTTCATTTATCCTTAACAATTCCAAGCAACAGGTGTGGTGCCCCTCACAGACTTGGAAACAGAGCGAGGACAGGGGCCGGCGAGGTGCTCAGCAGTGAAGCCTGGTGACCTGAGGCCAATCATGGAGACCCACATGGTGGAAGGAGAAAACAGATCTCCTTCTCAAGTTGTCCTCTTGTGATGTGCTTGTACAAATAAAGCCTGTTTGAAGACCAGAGAATGGAGCTTACCACCAGCTAGCCAACCATAGAGGTCTGGAGGTCTGTACAGACAGACAGGAAGTGAGCTAGATGGGTGGAGAGAAGATACAAGCAGGGAGAAACAGGAAGTCACTTTTCTTGTCTGCTGAGACACTAAGGAGGTGAGGTGTGGTGGTGGCTTGTTCCTTCTTCTCTCTGACCTCTCAGCATTGTCCTCTATATATGACTACAGATTTTATTATTTAGACCAGTTAAGAACTTCATTTACATTTTGGTGCCCACGTGGCCAGAACACTAACAACAGGACAGGGGACAGTCATCCCACAAGGGCCCTAGTCTGCCCCAGCATTTTCTTCTATATCAGACTCTGGGGTTTTATTATTTAGACCAATTAAGAACTCCATTTCCATCCTCTGACCTCCACACAAGTATTGTGGTGTGCAAACATGCTTGGCTAGTGCAAACGTACAAACTCAGTAAATAAGAGTAACTTTTAAAAATGAAATTGAGAATTCAAAAGCATGCCCTGTCCTTACCTGCAGCCTCTCAGGAAATGTGGGCTGACCCCAGGGGGCCTTCTGAGGTGATCTTTGTCAAAGTAGCTCAGAGGCACAAGGCTATTAACCAGTATAATCTGCTCATCATTCCTGGTCAGAGCCGCCACCGCCTGCCCACTCTCACGTGGTTCAAACGCCATTCAACATTGTAAAAAAAAAAAAAAAAGGAACCCATCCCTAATTAATTAGATTCAACTGTATCCTTTTACTCCAAACTACAAATTGGAACCTTTTAAAAGATGCCAGCCAATTAGTCACTAGACACCACTGAAGGGAAGGTCTATGATGCATTCTTTATTTATCTATTTTTGCTTCAATAAAATGACTAAGGCATCTGTTTAGACCATTTGGCATTTTGTTGTTGTTGTTTATTAGAGAATCCATAACATAAAAGTTTTAAACTGAATTCCAGATTTTTACAGCTTGCATAGTCTGATCCCTATAAACTGACATTTTGGGGGTCAGCATGAACGAAGAAGAGGAGTGCTCTGTAAATTCCGGGGGACACTCATCACAGGCTGTTCTCTATGTTAAGTCCTCAGGACACTCATCACAGGCTTCAACAAACTGCATACAAAGCATCATTTCAATAATAACAGGAAGGTAACTGAGTTGCTCATGAGCTGCAAGGTGACTGCTTCTCCCTGAGGATGTTTTCCCATACACGCCTGCTTCTGCTAACATTGGCCTGCTCAATCCAAAGAGAAGAACCCAGTGGCTGTCCTCTGTTGAGCCAAGTAGCACAAGCTTTGGACAGGGGAGCCTTCAAAAAGCTAGAAAAACACAAAAATGCAAACCAAAACAGATGTCATCAGATCTGAACACTCTGTCCTTAACCTGGTGCCTAGGCACACACACACAGAGTTTTAGCTTTGGTCAGAAAAAAAAAATATATATATACATATATATATATATATATGGAGCCTATACAAATATGATGCTTGAAAATCATTTAAATTAACTTAAACCATAAGAACTGTTATATTACAGTGAACACTGTTTTCTTCCATCACAGTGATATATTACATGCTTTATAAACTTTACTGTTTTCATTTAATCCCTGATCACTTCCAAGGTTTTGCTAAAAAGTTATCACTTTATTGGATGTATTAGGTTTTTCCATTTCTAACCTTTGACCATCTCCAGTTCCACCTTCTAACAGAGGTAATCTCTGCCCTCTCGGAATCTGCCAAGCGACCTTCACATTGGTTTTTCTAACAGCTTGCACATGGTACACAAGCCTCTTCTCCTGTGTCAGCGTCCTGGAGCTGATCTCCACAGCCGTGTGTGCTGCAAAGCTACGTTACCGATATGGGAAAAATAACAGACTATTGGTCTGAGGTATATTTCTGTAGTAGTGATTCCCTGGTACACACAGTGCCCTGGGTTCAATCTCCAGCACTGTAAACAAGCAAACAACAAATAACAGAGATTACCAACTGGAAAAAAACCAAGACATGTTTTCAAAATTATAGTTTTAACTCAGTAGCAGAGACTGGAACGTAATATATTCTTATATTACATATGTATATTACATATATATATTTCTCTGTAAGTATATAATTTTTTCTATACAAATTTAAAACATATGGCTAAATCAAATTGTTTCTTTTGTCTTGCAAGTTTAAAACTGCAACGGAGAACAGAAAAAGGAACCCCAATTTCGCTCCCTTACATCATCTGATTAGTTATATTTACATTAAAATTAGATTGTGTAGAGGTGAGATGGAGGAAGCAAGAGAAACACGGAAGACAGATTGATTCCCATTGCCCAGATAGTTCCCCACAAGGCACACAAGGATGAGGATTCATTAGACCAGGGTTTAATGGAGCCGCAAGGCACAACCTAGGGAAAAATGGCACCTGAAACTCACCCTCCGGCTCCTTCCGTTTCCCATAGCAAGCAATGGGATTAGAGGGCTCCCACAGCCTGCGAGGGAGGCTGATTTTGAGAGTACTGCCCACAAAACCGTAGTTAATGTTCTGCACAGGCAACCTCTTGCTTTCTTCTTTGTCCTGTATAATTAAGATTCAGCAATCAGCTATAATCTGAGAACACTACAGTAGCACCATTTGCTTCTTTTGATTTTTTTTACATTAAAAAAGTTCCAGCCCAAAGTCTATGATTATGAAATATTATCACAGGGATTTTTTTTCAAGATTTCAAAACTGTGAGGCACTTCTGGCACACACCCTTGGCATCTGCTGTTTGCCAGAATGAACTCAGCCAGCCCCTCACTGCATGAGGGTGATTTCCACCCCCAGAGGCAACCTATGCATATTCACTCTGTCTCTCACCCATAAACTGCACAGAGTGAATTCAAAGAAACAAAGCTAACCCTTTTGCTTTTGTTTTGCTTTGGCTTGGTTTGGGTTAGATTCTTTTTTTACCCTTCAAGTTTTATTAGCATGTGAACATACAAACAATGAGCCTGCGTTTATAAATGTTTAACAATGAAATAATTTTATTCCACTTTGTTTTTCAAGACAAATAGGCAAAAGTTACTTAAGAGTGTACATTTGAGCTAAACCGCCTACATCAACTTTTCTTTCTTGTATGAAATGGGAATGGGGCAGAAACACTATAAATAGCAGGTGCTAGTAACTCAGAAAATAAAGCATCCCATTGTGGGTGCATTGGAGTTTTAGCACTGTGAGTGATTTCAAAAATGACTAAATGCACAAATTAGACAACATTTCCAAATCTTTAGGCAGGTCAACTTTAAATTAGTTCTGAAGCCTCCTGTCATTACTTCAAAAATCAAAAGAATCAAAAATCAAAATCACCTTTAGGGCTGTTGGTTTTTCTCTCCTCTTTTGTATTGGTAAATGATTCATTTGAGATTACATATATGTATTCATTCTTTGGGAATTCTACACCATGCATCCCAACCCCACTTAACTCCCAGTCCTTCCATATTTACCCCTCATCCCTGCAGTGTCCCCCAAAAGAAACCCCCCAAAATTAATTAAAAATACAATAAACAAAAGAACCACCTTGCTCTTCCATCATGCCTGTCTCTCCAACACATCTTCATGTGTCCCATGTGTCACACACAGTACACCCTTCTGTCCAATCAGCCCCATCCACAGATGCTCATTGCAATGAGTCATTGGTCTGGTTCAAGTTCTGTCACAACATCAACACTGGAGTCATAAGGAGCCTGCAAATACCATTGCACAGGACCAGCCCCTTCACACACTCCCACAGGCCAGAGATGGGGCGGATGTTAGGGTGGGCAAACCCAAGGCCCAGGATGTGAGTGTGAGTGGTAGCTGAGCTGGTCTGTCCAAGCAGCTGGGACCACCTCCCTCAAGCAAGAGTCAGAGCCAGATCTCCTAGGCCCATGCAGTCAAATCCAGCTCTCCCAAGCCTGTGGTAAGGGGTGAGGCCATCTCTCCCATGCTGGGTAGGACCGGCTCTCCTATGGCAGTGACCAGTGAGGCACAGCCAGGTGTCCCACGGCAAGTGATTGGCCAGCCTGCTCGGCAGGTTCCTTGGATTTCAACACACATGGTTCCTATGGCTCCATGAGGTAACACGGGTCATTGACAGCAACATAGACCCTAGCTGCAGAGGGAACATGGACCCAGACTTGCCTAACTTTTTTTTTTTTTTTTTTTGGTTTCTCTGGATTGTTTTGGAGGCTATCGTCCAGCCCAGCCTCGAACTCACAGAGATCCACCTGCCTCTGCCTCCCGAGTGCTGGGATTAAAGGCGTGCACCACCAACACCCGGCTTGCCTAACATTTTTTAAGGCTTTGTGTTAGATCCCTTTTTTTTGCTGTTGTTGAGTCTAACTATGCATGTCTTCAATGAAACTGTCCTGTTTTATCTGTCTGTCTGTCTTTCTATCTCTTTATTTGCTGTGATAAAAATAGGCTGACAAAAATAAGCATAAGGAAGAAGGATTTATTTCAGGTCTCAATTCCAGGCTATCCTGGAGACGACAAGGGGACTAGTCACGTCACGGCCACAATCAGAGCAGAGAGAAACTAACACGTACACACTCACTTGATTGCTAGCGCTCCCTCAATTTCTCTGTTCTTACCCACTCCAGGGCCCCTTGCCTAGGAAGTGATTCTGCTCACAGTGGACAGAGTCTCCCCATGATAAGTAGGATAATCCCCCACAGGAATGCCCACAGCCCAACCAGTGTAGACAAACCTTCACTGAGACTGCTCACAGCACAGGTGACCAATCAGAAAGTGCCCTTCCCATCTCGACTGCCAAGACTGGAAGAGCTCATTGTCGCCAAAAGCTACCTTATTTGATATAAGCTTGTTGTTAAGGGACTTTCCTTTTGGATTAAAATTCAAAAGGATGTATTTCTTGGGCAGTCTTTTCTTACCATATTTTGAAAATCAACCGGACTAAAACATAAATCAGTAAGAAAACAGAACTGAGATGAAAAGAAATAGAGTCTTGATTCCGCATGTGCCTGGCAATAGACCAACCCTTGGATGAATAACTGCAGTGCGAAGTCTCCATATTTTGCATTAAATAATTTCAGCTGAGATTTGAGCAATTGCAAGCAATAGATAAAAATTGGTGCTGTTTTCTAAATCTCTTCAAGCTACCTTGCTCTCTTACTCCAACGGAGCAAGACTGAATAAAGCATTCCACACCAGGAATGCCACAGCCTTCTCCACAGTATTGACAGCTTAAAATGACAATTAAGGTTTAATTACATTGTTAAAGCACCTGGGGTTTCCCACATAAACATTAGTTAGGGGCATGCAAATCCTTCCTATATCATATCATCTTACAATTTAAAAGCCCTCGAAGGTCATTCAGACAATTGAGTGGGTACGGCACCTAGTGCTGGATTGATGGACCCAGTTCCATTCCGGGATTCTTAGGACAGAGAGAGCCTACTCCTGTAGGCTGTCCTCTGTCCCCCATACCCACACCATGGCACGCGCACGCGCACACTCACACACACACACACACACACACACACACACACTTAATTTACAAATTTTCATGACCCTATGGTGCCCTTCTCCCTATCCTCATTTTGGAAATAAGTAACCTGAAGCTTGAAAGTGATAATGGACTTATTCAAAAGATAAGGCCATGGCGCTATTAACAACTATTAATGGCATTAAAATGGATGCTGCACCAGAATCCAAAATTTACTAGAAATTATAAATTTTGGGCAATTGCCTTGTTCACATTATTTTGAGATGAAGCAAGTTGGGGCTTTCCTATAAAACTATCGTTTTGTTTTGTTGTTCCAAGTAGGAAATTGCTTGGTAATGAATACAAGTGATTCTGCTCCTTGGCCCTTAGGTGTCCATTCATTCTCTGGAAAGGAGGATGTGTTAGCTGAATCAGTTATCATTAAACAGACATAGGGAACTGAATGATGACCTAAAAAAGTCTCTCTGGAACATTCTTGTTTTCTTTGTAAATTACTACCAGATTAAAACAATAAAGATCCTTATATTCTAATGAAATTTAGTGAATTTCACTTAACATAAAGGCAAATCACTATCTCTGGAATAAGACATGTGCATTGTTCTTTCTTCAAGTAAATGGGCTGGATGTGCTAAAAACTTAAGTCCAGAATTAGCCAATGTTACACTTTATAGGTTCAACTGTCAATCAAGCTGTTTAGGCAAACTCCTATGAGTTTACTTTTGGCTCAGCAAATGTTTTCTCTGTATTCCCATTACAGCTTTCTTTTTTAAGTGTGGAACTCCTGTTTCTGCTTCAGTAGTAATAATTGCTATAGACTGTTTAGTGCACACTTGTGGGCTTTTAAACCTACTCTCTTATTTTCAGCTAGAAAATTCAGTGCAACCAAAGAATCCGATATTTTCTTTTGAAACTGTTGCATAATTGCAGAAAGTAAATTCACAGCCTAGGCAGTGAACAGCAAAGAAACTGGGCCCACTCACCTTGACCACAAGTCAGGAAAAGCTTGATGAGATGAACAGAATTTTTAAAACTAAACTGAATATTCACTTTAAAACACCTTATTCTATTCAAACTATTTTAAACTATTTAAGATCAGCTAATGTTAGTGATTATACTTTATAATAATCTGTTCCTACTTAGAAAACCTAGCTCAAAGCAAGTATTTTTCTTTTATAGCTGTGCAAATAAAATAAAATCCATCAATATTTGGAGGTTAAAATAGTGAACAACGTTCTCATAGAATTATAATTTTTCTCCAGAACATTTCACACCAATTTTATCACTGAGATATCGATAGCTGATGATTGACCAACATTCATAAAATGGATAGATTAAGCTCCTTCTAACAGTTTCTCTAGGCAAATACACTCTTAACAGACAGACGACACCAGAACCATTCCCAGAATCCCGCTTGTTTTCCCATCCCTGCTGGGATCCCTCCATCTTTACCGCCAGGCTAATGAATAAGCTTGCGGCCATCGGTCCTATCTGGTCTTCTCCTGCAACTCCCAGGAAGTTTCCAATACCATCGTATCTTTGACATGCACGCACAGATTTGCCTTACTTTTAAGCTATTAGCTGCCTCTCACAGGATGGTTAAGGTGAGCGCGGTCGTACTCACCAGGTGCTTCGTGGCTGTTTCAGACGCTCCGCATGCAGAAGCCTCTTACCGCAGCAGCCAACTCAAATTAAACAACCCTGCAGCCTCTCACACGCTGTCTCCAGATCTCTGCCTCCAGGAAACCCGCCTGCTACCTTCCCACACCAAACCACTCTGCCAGCCCAGGAGGCCCTCAAGATCTTGGGATACTTGGGGTCAGCTCGACTGTCCAGCACAAACCTGGGGCTCTAAAAGCATCAGTCACACATATTCCAAATGTGTGTGTGTGGGGGGGTAGATTCTCATAAAAACTTTTTAAAGAGATCACACACTTTTCTCTAGCTAATAAATGTCACTATAAATCAGAAAACTAAAAGTTAAGGTTCACCGAGTCCAAAGACACGCCGCCCACGGTCCTGCTGTCTTTGAGCCCCTCCTGCTCTCTCTTCGTTGATAAAGTTTCCCCACACAATGGAGTTTTAAAGTGCAAATAAATACAAGACCAGGTCACTGTTTGGATTCAGTGTTTCCTCGTGGAACCAGCACCTTAC